ATGTTGCAACAGACATAGTGGTGTATATATATTTTTGAATTAATGTTTTTGCTTTCTTTCAATAAACAGCCAGAAGTGAAATAGCTAGATCATATGGTAGATTAAATTTTTTGAGGAATTTCCATACTGGTCTCCACAGTGGCTGCACCATTTTACATTCCCACCAGCAGAATACAAGAAGCCCCTTTTTTCCACATCCTCTCCAATACTTGTTACTTTTCATTTTCTGTTGGGCTTTTTTTGCCTTTTTTAATAATAGTGATTCTGACAGGTGGGAAGTGATATCTCATTGTGGTTTTGATTTGTATTTGCCTAATTAGTGATCTTGAACATTGTTTCATGTGCCTGTTGGCCATCTGTATCTCTTCTTTGCAAAAACGTCTGTTCGGATCCTCTGATCATTTTTTAATCAGTTGTTTTTGTGTTTTTGAGTTGTATGTGTTCTAAACATGTTTTGGATATTAACCCCTTATCAATATATGATTTGCAAATATCTTCTCCCAATTGGCAGGTTGTCTTTTCATTCTGTTGATTGTTTGTTTTCCCATGCAGAATATTTTTAGCTTGATTTGCCCTATCTGTTTATCTTTTCTTTTGTGGCTTGTGATTTTGGTGTCATATCCAAAAATTCATTGCCAGGATGCATGTCAAAGACATTTTTTTCCTACTCATTCTCCTGGGAGTTCTATGGTTTCAAGTCCTATGTGGTCTTTAATACACTTAAAATTATTTTTTTTAATTGTGTGAGATAGGAGTTCAATTTCTTTCTAATGTATATGGATATCCAGTTTTTCCTGCTCCATTTATTAAAGACACTATCCTTTCTTAAACAAGTATTCTCGGCTCTATTGTTAAATACTGGTTGCCCTTATATACATGGGTTTATTTCTGCATTCTTGATTCTGTTTCACTGGTCTTCGTGGTTCTTTATATTCCAGTACCATATTGTTTTAATTACTATAGTTTTGTAATCAAATTTGAAATCAGAAAGTGTGATGCCTCCAGCTTTGCTGTGTTGTTTTTTTCTGAGGATTTCTTTGGTTATTCAGGGTCTTCTGTGATTCCATAAAAATTTGAGGATTTTTAAAAATATTTCTGTGAAAAGTAGCATTGGAATTTTGATAGCAATTGCATAGAATCCATAGACAGCTTTAGGTAGTATGGAGATTTTAACAATATTAGATTGTTCAATCCATGAACAAGGACAATCTTTCTATTTATTTGTGTCTTTTCACTTTATTTCATTAATGTCTTCTGGTTCTATTTGGATAGAAATCTCACTTCCTTGGTTAACTTTATTCTTGAGTACTTTATTGTTTTTGATGCTACTGTAAAGATAGTATTTTCTTTATTTCTTACTTATATTGCTCATTTTTGGTGTGTAGACATAGAACTGATCCTTATATGTGGATTTGGTGTTCTAAAACTTAACTGAATTTGTCTATTCCTTCTAACAGTTTTTGGTGGGGTCTTCATGGGTCTCTACATAAGATAGCATGCTTTGAATGGGGACTGCTTTACTTCTTCCTTCCTGGTTTGAACGTATTTTATTTCTTTTTCTTGTCTAATTGCTCTGACTAGGATGTCCAGTACTATGTTGAATAAGAGTGGTGAGAGTAACATCCTTATCTTGTTCCTGATCTTGGAGAGAAAATTTTAAACTTTTCACTGCTGTATATATTGTTGGCTGTGTCTTGTCATATATGGCCTTTATTATTTTGAGATATGCTTATTCTATCACAAATTTGTTGTGATCATACATTATGAAATGATGTTGAATTTGCCAAAAGTGTTTTCCACATCTATTGAGCTAATCATATCTCTTTAAACTTTAATTCTATCAATGTGATGTATCACATTTATTTCTTTACTTAAAGGGAAACATCCTTACATTCTAGAAATAAATTTCACTTCTTCATGATGTATGGCCTCTTTATTTTTCTATTATTTTTTGTTTGCTGGTATTTTGTTGCAAATCCTTACATATATATTAATCAGAGATTTTGTTGTGTAGTTTTTTGCTTTCTTTTTATTTATTTTTAAAATTGTTTTTACAAAGATTGACCCTGAGCTAACATCTGTTGCCACTCTTTTTTTTTTTCCCTTCTTCTCACCAAAGCTCCCTAGGTCATAGTTCTATATTCTAGTTGTAGATCCTTCTAGTTCTGCTATGTGGGACATCAACTCAGCATGGCTTGATGAGTGGTGCTAGGTCCATGCCCAGGATCCAAACCAATGAAACCCTGGGCCACAGAAGCAGAGCGTGCAAGCTTAACCACTATATTATGTGGCTTGCCCATATTTTTATTTTTTATTGGGGTATAGCTGACATAAAATATTAGATTAATTTCAGGTACACAACATAATAATTCAATATTTGTATACATCATGGAATGACTGCATGAAGTCTAGTTAGCATCTGTCACTATTGAAAGTTACATTTTTTTCTAGTGAAGAGAACTTTTAAGATTTACTCTCTTAACAACTTTCAAAGATTCAATACAATATTACTCACTGTAGTGACTATGTTGTACATTACATCCCCTTGATTCATTTATATTGTAATTGGAAGTTTGCACTTCTTGACTCCTTTCAGCCATTTTTTCCCACCCCCTAATCCACCACTCCTCTGGCAACCACCAATCTTTTCTCTGTGTCTGTGAGTTTTGCTTTGTTTATTATATTCCATATATAAGTGAAAGCATACAATACTTGTCTTTCTCTGACTGATTTATTTTATTTAGCTTAATACCCTCAAGGTCTATCCATGTTGTTGAACATGGCAAGATTTCATTCATTTTTATGATGGAATAGTGTTGTTATCAAGCAAGGGTTTGATGCTTGACACACAGAAAAGCCAATAGTATGGCACCGGCTTTGGAGAAAAGAAAAAGCTTTATTGTGAGATTGACTGGCAAGGAGACAGGAGCAAAGCTTTCAAGTCTGCCTTGTGAAAACCATTCCTCTGAGAACAGGAACAAGACAAGGGTGCCCACTCTTGCCACTCTTCTTCAACACAGTACTGGAAATTTTAGCCAAAGCAGTTTGGCAAGAAAAAGAAATAACAGGTATCCAAAAAGGAAAGGAAGAATTAAAACTGTCACTATTTGTGGTTGACATGATTCTATATATGGAAAACTGTAAAGAATCCAACAAAAAACCATTAGAAATAATCAACGAATACAGTAAAGCTGCAGAGTACAAAATCAACATTCAAAAATCATTTGCATTTTATTCCACTACAGTGGCCTGTGGTTCGCCAGTTTGGATCCTGGGCATGGACCTACACACCGCTCATCAGGCCATGCTGTGGTGGCATCCCAAATGAAAGAACTAGAATGATATACAACTATGTACTGGGGCTTTGGGGAGAAAATTAAAGAGGAAGATTGGCAAAAGATGTTATCTCAAGGCCAGTCTTCCTCACACACACAAAATCACTTGCATTCCTATACATTAATAATGGACCAGCAGAAAGATAAGTCAAGACTATAATCCCACTTACAACTGCAACAAAAAAGAATAAAATACCTGGAATAAATTTAACCAAGGAGGTGAATGTCATATACACCAAAAACTATGACGTTAATGAAACAAATGAAAGAAGACAAATGGAAAGATATTCCATGCTCATGTATTGTAAGAATAAACACAGTTGAAATGTCCATATTACCTAAATCAATCTACAGATTGATCTACAGACCAATCTACAGACTTAATTCAAACCCGAATGGAATACCAATGACATTCTTCATGAAAAGAGAAAAAAGAATCTTAAAATTTATACGGAAAAACAAATGACACTGAATAGCCAAAGCAATCCTGAGGGGGGAAAAAAAAACACTTGGACGCATCATGCTCCCTGAACTCAAAATATACTACAAAGCTGTAGTAGTCAAAACAGCATGGTACTCACATAATAAACCCAGATATACAGATCAATGGAACAGAATTGAAAGCCCAGAAGTAAAACCACACTTCAAGGGACAGCTAATCTTCAACAAAGAAGCCAAGAACACACAATGAAGAAAGGAAAGTCTCTTCAATTAACAGTGTTGAGAAAATTGGAGAGCCACATGCAAAAGAATGAATGTAGATCATTGTCTCACATGATACAAAAAAATTAACTCTAAATGGATTAAAGACTTGAATGTAAGACCTGAAACCATAACACTCTTAGAAGAACATATAGGCAGTACAGATTTGACGTAGGTCTTAGTAGTATCTTTCTGAATACCATGTCTCCACAGGCAAGGGAATCAAAAGACAAAATAAAGAAATGGGACTACATCAGACTAAAGAGCTTCCTCAAGGCAAAGGAAACCATCATCAAAATGAAAAGACAACCTACCAATGGGAAGAAAATATTTGCAAATCATACAGCTGACAAGGCATTACTTTCCAAAATATATAAAGAACTCATACAACTCAATAACAAAAAAAGAATAATCCAATCAAAAAAATGGACAGAGGATATGAACAGACATTTTTCACGAAGATATCCAGATGGCCAACAGGCACATGAAAAGATGTTCGACATCACTAATCATCAGGAAAATGCAAATCAAAACGACAATGAGGTATCACCTCACACCAGTCAAATGGCTATAATTACCAAGCCAAAAATAACAAATGTTGGAGAGGATGTGAAGTAAAGGGAATGCTCATAAACTGGTGGTGGGAATGCAAACGGGTGCAGCCACTATGGAAAACAGTATGCAAATTTCTCAAAAACTTAAAAATAGAAATACTGTATGATCCAGCCATCCCACTACTGGGTATTTATCAAAAGAACATGAAATCACTAATTCCAAAAGATATATGCACCCGTATGCTCACCACAGCATTATTCACAATAGGCAAGATGTGGAAGCAACCTAGATGCCCATCAAGGGACAAATGGAGAAGAAGGTGTCGTATATATATACAATGGAATACTACTCACCCATAAAAACAGACAAACTCATCCCATTTGAGACAACATGGATGGATCCTGAGCCAAACAAGTAAGACAGAGAAAGGAATACTCTATGATTTCACTCCTATGTGGAATATAAGCAAACACATAGATGAGAATACATTAGTGGTTACCAGAGGAAAAAGGGATGAGGGAGGATGAAATGGTAAAGCCACATATGTATGGTGACGGATAAAAACTGAATTATTGGTGATGAACACAATGCAGTCTAAAGAGAAACTGAAATATTATGATAGACACTTGAAATGTATACAAGGTTGAAAGCCAATATGACTCAGTAAAATAATTATATATATAGATAGATAGATACATGTATATAGATACAGACAGTGACCACTAAAAATAGGCACATATAGAAAATCAAGTTAAAATGGAATTTTAAATAATTATTATTAACCCCAAAGAAGAAAAAAAGAGAAAGGGGAACAAAAGCCAAATGGAAAAAAAGAAAACATACAGTAAAATGGATGACCTAAATCTAACTGTCAATAATTACGTTAAATGTAAAAGGATAAAATTCTCCAATTGAAACTTAGAGTTTGTCATAACAGATAGAAAAACAGCATATAAAAAAGAACGAAAGAATATCTTAAATACTGAAATTCTTTGTTAAATGCTATCATATGTAGTTTCCTTATTTTGACTAATATTTTGAATGGCTGCATAGCACTCTAATTTATGGTTATAATAGAATTAAACATGTTTAGATGATTATGATTATATACATTGTTAGACAACATATCTAAGGTCTTTTCTATTCTTGCTCTCTGTTAATTTAAGACTTATGATTTTATTCTCTTTTATGGACACTAACAATCCCTCACTGAGAACTTTTCTGGTTCATGAGTTAGAGGATACTAATGTAGGATGATCCAGAATTATATCAAAGTCATTCAATTTCATCGCATCCCAGTCAGCAATAAAATAGTCATATTTCTCATTCAGGAATCCCTTACAAAGGACCATGATCCATATATTTTCAAGTCCTAAATCATATTGCTATTCAATTCCAAAAACCTCACAGTGCATTGGATCTTAGCCTCCAGAGACCGTTCATTGCTGGGTTTTATCATGTGTATCTAGAAAACTCATGTCTGTGAGAATGTCAGGGTCTTTCCCTGCTTGGCCAAATGGGATCTCCATCTCTCATCCAACTACAGTCCTGACACGGGAAGCTCAAATCATTTCTTGACAGGACTTAATTTCTTCATTCCTCCATTATAGCTCTTAATATGACTAAGTTGAGCACGTAGGAGAGAATAACCTGGTCAGTGAATGCATAAACACTGGCTGGAAAAGACTGGGCCACATAAGGAGGACTAGGTTATTTGGAACCATTGTTCAGTTCACTGGAATGGGAGGAACTGGGAAGCACATAATCACATGGGGTTCTTTGGGTAGGACGCTTCAGAACAATTAATGAAAACATTTACGTCTCACTATTTTAACGAGAAGGAAACACTAACTTACACATACCATGGTTTTGCACCTGCCAAAACTGATCAGTCCTCCTTGGGATTCCTCTACTGGGAAAGAACAAAGGGAATCCAGAGCTGGGTAAGGAAAAAGAGACCATGAGAGCAAGCATAATTCAGGGTTAGCATGAAAGGAAGTAACATTTGGCTCCTCCATTCCATTTTGCATAATACCGCTAACCAAACAAACACAACAATATGAAAAGATTAGAAGGATTGTAGATAAACCCAAACTCTTTCCCTAACCCCCAGGAAACCCAAACAATTCAGCAGACAGTTTTCTGGCCTGTCCTCCACTTTGGGGAAGCAGCTCTGCACGTGAGGCTAGGCTGGTCAGCGCTGCCCTGAACAGGTCCTCCTCCCTCCATTCACACCTTCCAGGACTGAAAAGGAGCCACGCCATCCAGCCACACCTTACCTCATGGCCTTGGGGTCAGGTGAGGTTGAACAGGTTAGAAAAGACATAGAACTGGTCAGGAAGTATTCAATATTCCAATTCCAGAAAAACTGACTGGTTAAACACATTACGACATATCCATGTAGTAAACGTGAAGTCAGGAAAAATATTGTGAACATGGAAAACATTCCAGAAATACTGTCAGTAGAAAAATCAGGTTATAAAACTATAGGTGCAATATGATACCATTTGAAGAACATATGTGTATCTCAATATCAAATGACTGAAAAATCATCAGACTTCAATAGACAGAAAAAGATCTAGAAAGTTGTACATTCACTGATTAACAGTGCTTATCTTTTGCTCCTGATGGGGATTTTGTTTGTTTAAGTATATCTTAACTTGCTGATTCAATGGCCATTTCTTAAAATATCTGTGCATGTGAACATTTGCTGTGTGTTAAGTGGAAGCTGTTTTCCAAAATGTGGAAAGTTCATTCTTCTAAACAGAGTTTACTTGGTCTTGGGGAAATGTACTAAATTTGGGTTGTTTTACTAAATGGTTTTTGATTCCTTCAGTTACCAGTGACACAATCTCCTCTCAGGTTTCTAGGCATGCTCATTGTTGGATGACTGTCTAGACAGATGGTGAGGTCCCTGAGTGTAGCTAACATGTATTGTTGCTGGTCTCAGCGCTACATCCTTCTGCAAGTTTTCTTACGGAATCCTTTCCCACCCTGTTAATCACGTCCTCCAGAAAGCTGCTCAATTATCTTATCCCATCAGTCTCACTCAGCAACCACCATCATCAGAATAAAATGTAATGTAGGAGTTACCGTGTGACCCAGCACTTCTGCCCTTAGCTATATACCCAAGAGAATGGAAATATGCATTCACACAAAAACTAGTACACAAATGTTCACATTTGTCACAGCCAAAAACTGAGAGCAACCCAAATGTCCATCAACAGATGGATGAGGAAAATGTCGTTTATGGATATAAGGGAATATTACGCAGACATAAAACTGAAGGCTATTTTGATACCGACTCCTCATGGAGGACCTTGAGGACACTGCGCTAAGTAAAATGAGCTAGTCATGAAAGTATAAATTTTGCACGATTGCTCTACTATGAGGGTCCTAGAGAAGTCAAATTCAGAGACAGAAAGGAGAATGGTGGCTGCCAGGAATGGGAGGAGAGGGGAATGGGGAGTTAGTGTTTAATGGGACAGAGTTTCAGTCGAAGATGAAAAAGTCCTGGAAGTGGATGGTGCTGATGGTCGCACAATAATGTGAATGTGCTTACTGTCACAGAACTGTACACTGAAAAGTGGTTAAAATGGCAAATGTAATGCCATGTATACTTTCCAAAGTAAAGTAAAAGAATGATGTGCTTATCTACCACATGGACGAACTTTGAAAACCTCATGCTAAGTGAAAGGAGCTAGACATAAAAGGACACATACTGCATGATTCCATGTAGACTGAATTTCAAGAGTCAGCAAATCCATGGAGACAGAAGCCAGGTTAGTGGTTTAGTATGGGAGGACGAGGGATAGGAAGTGACAGCTAACAAGGCCAGGGTTTCTTACTAAGGTGATAAAATGTTTTGAAATTAGATAGTGGTACTGATTTTTACAACCTTGTGAATATAGTAAAACGTTTTCTTTTGAGTACATTTTTACAAGGTGAATTTTGGGGCTGGCCCAGTGGCATAGTGGTCAAGTTCAGCACACTTTGCTTTGTTGGCCCAGGTTCACACGTTTGGATCCCAGGCATGGACCTACGCCACTCAACAAGTCATGCTGTGGTGGCACCCCACATACACAATAGAGGAAGGCGTGCACAGATGTTTGCTCAGGGCCACTCTTCCTCAAGCAAAAAGAGGAAGACTGGCAACAGGTGTTAGCTCAGGGCCAATCTTCCTCACCAAAAAAACAAAAAACAAACGGTGAATTTTATGATCATGAATCTATCTCAACTTAAAAAGCAACATAAAAATTTGCAACATAAATTCCTTACCATCACGGTGCTCTCATAGGTCATCAGAGTTTAATCACAACCCGACAGTGGTGACTGCAGTCAGAATGACATCACTGCCTTATAAAACACCAAGTCACATTATCTGAATCTCCCTAGTGGCCTTCGATGCATCTATTCCTATTCAGGGTTTACCTTACGTACCAGAAGGAACGTAAAAGTGTCAACTATGTCATTTGAGTCTTTTTATCACCCCGAATACTAAGATGGCATGGTCTGGCATATCATAAGCACTTACTAAAAATCTGATTATTTGACCCCAAATTCTAGTTCTAGACATTTCTTAAGAAAATATTGAGATAAAGAAATGCATGTACAAGTATGTTCAATACTTAGCTTATGACAGCCAAAACTAGAAACACAAAAATCTAACGGAACAGGTTAATTAACTTGGTTCTGCTATATGATGGCAGGTACAGCATTATTAATCAGGATGATACTGGTCCCAGTGTAAAATACGCACTCATAACTGGGGAACGGTATCCAGTTGAAACTTAAGACATAGATTCTGTTCTCAGATTTTCTAAATGTAACTGCTCTTAGAGTTCATGGCATTTTAATGCCTTGGGTTGTTCATCAGTAAAACTAAGAGTGTGAAGATCCCTTACTAAGCATGAATATCTTGGAGAAATATAATCTACATAAAAACTTAATAACATGTTGTAATCCTATATAAATATGTTAGATATTTTTACTGAAGAACATTGCATGCCCTCTAATTGGGTATTATAAAAGAAACAATTATTCTTAGATTAAAATTGTGCTTATCAGCCCTGCTCTGATAATGCTCACAAAACAAAGGGAAAAAAAATCAGGACTTTTGCTTGAGAATGCATTTTTAATTCATAAATCAAAAGTTTCTAGAAAAGAGGAGGAGGAAATTTCCCTCCCACCGAAATGCAGCAGAATCAAAGAGACATTTGTGAATCACAACCTGCCCAAAGAAGCTGATGTGATCAAGCGTCTCATAAGTGAGAACATCAGTAAGACTCTCAGTGCCCTGAAGCAGCAAAGAAAGACGTGGGTAAATAAAATGATTCCTTATTTTCTTCTATTTCAATCAGTATTTGGAAATGTTTTGGGGAAGACAACTAAAATCAGATATTTTTGCAAAGTTTTGTTAAGTTTTTCTTATACCAATAAGTTAAAATCAATGATTTTATGAAAGAAAATCAACCATCCTCAATGTTGACTTTTGTGTGTAAACCAATTCTTTCCCCTCATCAAGGTTCTTCTTTTGGGAATGGCAGGACTGAGGAGGAAGTCAGGAG